TGCAGCCGCGCTCCCCCCGCAGCCGCCGCAGGACGGGCCCGTAAAACACAAAGCGCGTTTATTCCCCATTTTCTAAATTGTTTCATTTCAGAGGTTCACAAATGAGGACCACCTGGCGGTTCATAAACACAAGCATGAGATGACATTGAAATTCGGCCCCGCTCGCACCGACTCCGTCATCATCGCAGGTATGTGCCCGGCCAGCGCCCGGCAAGATTGATGCCAGGGACCAGATGCACTGCAAAACCCATAAAACCTCCTGTGATCTGCATTTAATCAGGGGGAAAGGAAAGCCAGAGGCTTCCAAGTTTTTTCTTTTTTTCTTTTTTTTTTTTTATGGCAGTATCAGGTTTTGTGGGGTTTGGGGGTTTTTTTTTAAATTTTTTTTTTAATATTTTTTTTTAAGCTCTTGCCCTTTTTTATTAAAGGCTGGAGGATTTATGGCCAGAAGGGCTTTCACGTCTCTGCGTGTGCTTTGAGGACGATGAACCAAACCTGACAAAGCAGCTTCCCCTCTCAGCCCAGGTGTCGATTTTCCCGAGCTTTTAGGAAGCTGCAGTTAATAAATCCAATCCCCACCGAGCGCAGCCGGGCTGCAGAGCCCAGCCAGGAGCTCCAGCAGCACCTGGGCACTGCAGCCCCTGAAAACCGGGGCCAAACCCCAACCCCACACATCTCTGGGCAGGTCCCAGAGCCCCTCCTGGCCCTTTGGTGAAGGGGCCGTTCCTGACGCGCTTCCCGGGGCGTTCCTGGGGGAAAACGAAGCTGCTGCAGGAGCCTGGCACCTTCTCCCCACTTATCTCCAGCCCAAATCCGTGCTGAGGCAGGGAATGGGAATTCAGCTGGTTTTGAGAGAGCTGTGGGCTGGAAGCTGCTCCCAGGGAGAGGAAACGTTCCCAGTGGGATCATTCCAGAACTGGGGGGATGAAACACCTCAGGAGCACGAGGAACAAGGTCACCCCTGGCACTTGGGGGGCTGCTCTGGGGTAAAACACAAAACCCCCCAAACGAACTCAATTTATCCGTGGCCAGTTCAGGACCAGCTAAACCCCCCCGAACCCAAATTTATTTATTTTGTCCCAGTTTCTGGACCAGCTAAACCCGCCCAGAGCAGTGCGTGTCGGACACAGACGGGGGGTGCGGGCTGTAAAACCCCGCTGGCTTTGAGCAGTGGGGGCTGCCTGGAATTCCATCCATCCCGGGGTTTTTCCAGCCACCATTCTGTCCCTGGGATTTCTCCCTGCCTCCCCAGGCCCTGTGTCGGGAGCAGGACCCGGCTGAGCCAGGGAGGGAGCGGGGTTTCGATGGGATGGGGAAGGACGGGAGCTCCCAGGCTTTCTTTGTGGAAATCTCTGCAGCTCGGGAATGCTAAACACGGAGCGATCCCAAAAGAGCCCTGAGAGCTGTTAAAGCCCTGGAAAAACAACCTCCTGCGGAGAGATTTGGTTGATGAAGTTCCTGGATTTTATGGATTGGGATCTGGGGGGAAGCAAAGGGTGCCCAGAGGGGGATTTTGCATCAGTGGCAAACCCAGCAGAGGGAGGGTTTGGAGTCGGGGCTGAATCATCCCCGGGACGCTCTTTGTGCTGGAAAATCCCCGTGTTTGTCTGCGGGCTGGATCCATCAGTGGGATTCCCAGTGGAGCTGGAGGCTCCTTGTGCTTTTATGGGCTGGGCCACGGCCAGAGAGAGGCCTGGAGGTGCTCTGGGATTGGGAGCTGGCACCGGGAGCATTCCCAGGGAATCGCTCCGGGATTGGGAGCTGGCACCGGGAGCATTCCCAGGGAATCGCTCCGGGATTGGGAGCTGGGATTGGGCTCTGCCCGGCCCTGGGGCCGCTCCCTTCAGCTGCTCTCCCCTCTCCCTGTGTCGATGATTTCAGGGAGATCAAGCTCCCGGTGTTCCCTCCTTGTCCCGCTGAGGATGGGGCAGAACCCCGGGGTGGGAGGGATGGGAATTCCACAGCCGGGAATTCACAGGAATCCTCTTGCTCCAAAGGTTGTTCCTTTAAACGCCAGAGAAACAAAACCAGCAAGAAGTGATTGTCCCTTTTCCAGAGTGTCCCTTGCTGTCCCCAGGGCACCACCTGCGTTCTGAAGGGCTGGGACGGGTAAAATGGGATTTTTTTGGCCTCTCCCTGACCAATTCCCGGTGTTCCAACCCAAACCAGACCAGACTCCGACCCCGACTCGGTTCCTGAAGAACTGTGAGGAGGTGGGACTCTTCAACGAGCTGGCCAGCTCCTTCGAGCACGAGTTCAAGAAAGC